GTGGAAAGGCATTTGTGATTAAAAGTCGATTGGGCACTTGTGCCAGTGGCCCTCAGGCCTAGGATGAAAGCTGATTTGCTATCAGGGTTACAAACTAAATTGGCAGTTTGTTGTGTTTGAGGAGAACATTGTTCTAATTGGTACAGCACTTGTCTGTCCGTTTGCTGTACTGAGATAATGTATGGTTTGCTGTGATACTGAAAGCTGTGCCGCTGGTGTGTCAAATGCCATAAGGGTTACCTATAGTGGACAGGTTTTATCAGAGCTCTCAGTTTAAGACAAACTAGAAATCAGGATTGGCCATCTACTTCTTAAACACCTTTGAAAGCCACGTGAACACTAGAGGAATGTGAGTAATTATAGGAGTGGAGTGGTAGAGCCTAGATTGGCAGTCAGTTGGAAGGAGGAAAACCAAAAACATATATTGATCAATAATTGGAACATGGAATGTATGTAGCTTGAATGTTGGAAAACTGGAAATTGTTAAAATTGAAATGGAATGCAAGAACATCAACATATGAGGCATTAGTGAGATATGGTGGACTAGCTTTGGCCACTTTGAATCAGATAATCATATGGTATACTGGGAATAAACAACAGAAGAAGAGTTGTGTTGCATTCATATTAATAAAATAACTTTCAAGTCCTATCCTGAAATACAATGTTACAAATGATAGGGTATTATCTATATGCATGTAAGGAAGACTCATTAACACAACTATTATTCAAATATATGCTTCTATATCTAGAGACAAAGAGGAGGAAATTAAGAATTTTTACCAAATCTTGCAGTCTGAAATTGACCAAACATGCAATCAAGCTACATTAATGATAATTGCTGACTGGAATGCAAAAGTTGGAAACAGTGAAGAAGAAATAATAGTAGGAAAATTTGGGCTTCATGATAGAAATGAGGGTGGAAATAGAATGATATAATTGGAGGAAGACTACTCAATAACCTTTGTTATGCAGATGGAACAATCTTGCTTGGTGAAAGTGAGGAGGACTTGATGTGCTTGCTGCAGAAGGTAAACCACTGCAGCCTTCAGTATGGATTACATGTCAACATTAAGAAAACAAAAATCCTTGCCACTGGACTGATGGGCAACATCATGATGGATGGAGAAAAGATTGAAATTGTGGACAACTTCCTCTTACTTTGATCTACTATGAACACTCTTGGTACCAGCTGACAGAAGAACAGGAGATGTAGGACACTGCGAAAGTCTGCAGACAGGAACCTCTCCAAATCATTGAGGAGCAATGATGTCAGTTTGAGAACAAAGGTGCACCTGATTCAGGTAATGATCTTTTAAATAGTTTTCTATGTATCTGAGAGCTGTGCAATGAACACAAATTACAGAAGAACAATTGATGCCGTGAAACTATGGTGTCAGAGAAGAGTATTTAATATCCCATGGACCACCAAAAGAACAAGCAGATATATCTTGGAGAGGGTCCAGCCAGAGTGCTTCTCAGAGGCAAAGATGGCAAAGCTTTATCTCACATAATTTGGGCATGTTGTTAGGGGAGTTTATTACTTGGAGAAGGACATCATGTTTGACAAAATGAAGGGGTGGCAAAGGAGAAGAGCCTCAATCAAGTAGATTGGTACAGTGACTGCAGGAATGGGACTGAATGTGTCAAAGAGTATGAGAAAGTTACACAATAGGGCAGAGTTAAGAAGGGTTTTTCATAGGATTGCTATGAATTATACTCAAGAGGACAAGAGCCCTTTATTTGGTCATTTATTTATTAACGAGTTTTACATTTAGAAATCAAGATGTGTTTGTTGGGTACATTTATTACTTTTATTCCTCATCCCTTTAGTAGACAAAATTAGAGAATATATGTGTGTATCATCATGGAAGGAGTATACAGAGTCACTGTATCAAAAAGAATTGGCTGACACAAAGGAATGCAATGAAACAACATATGATCAGGAGCCTGTGGTGCTGAAGGAAGAAGTACAAGCTGTTCTGAAGGAATTGGCAAAAAGCAAAACCCCAGGAATTGATGCCATACCAATCGACATATTTCAATAAATAGATGCTGCTCTGGACATGTTCACCAAGTCATGCCAAGAAATTTGTAGGATAACCATGTGGTCAGCTGACTGGATGAGATCCATATTTGTTCCTATTCCAAAAAAGATGACACGACAGAGTGCAGAAATTATCAAACAATATCATTAATATCACATGCAAACAAGATCCTGCTGAAAATGGTCCAAAACAACTGGAACAGCACATTGACAGAGAATTTACAGAAGTGCAGGCTGGGTTTAGAAGAGGCAATGGTATTAGGAATATTATAGCTAATGTTTTAAGTGGATCTTGGCTGAAAGCTTGCCAAAACTAATGAGGACCTGAGGCATGTGCTGCAAAAGGTCAAAGACTGCAGCCTTCAAAATGGATTGAAGCTCAACATAAATAAAACAAAGATTGTCACCACTGGGCTGATTGGCAGCATCATGATAAATGATGAAGAGATTGAGATTATTAACATTTTCAGTTGCTTGGCTCCACAATCAACACTCTTGGTACCAGCAGCCAGGAAATCAAAGGACAAACCGCATGGGACAATCTTCTTTCACAGACATCTCCAAAGTACTGAAGAGTAATGATGTCAGTCTAGAGACTAACAAGATCCAGGCCATGATTTTCACTATTACTTGTTATGCATCAGAAAGAAGGACAAAACTAAGAATGCTAGAATAAGAATTGATGCTTTTAAGTCATGGTGCTGGAGAACAGTATTGAATATATCAAGAACTGGCAGGAGAACAAACAAGTTTGTCCTGAAGAGGGTGAATCCACACTTCTCCTTTGAGACAAGGATTTTGAAGCTCTGTCTGACAAAATTTAGACATGTTGCAAGGAGAGACCAGTCCTTGGAGAGAGACAACATGCTTGGAAAGGTGGAGGGAAAGCACAAGAGAAAGATCCTGGAGGAGATGGATTGACTCAGTGACTCGCGTAAAAGGGTAAGTGTGTCAGACACAATGATGTTAGCCCAAGATAGAGCAGGGTTCAGAACCATTGTACGTAGGGTTGTTATGAATCACAAGCGACTCAACACCACATAACAACAACAATCACAGATATAACTGTGTACGTTTGTACCTGTCTCTATATTTAGCTGCATATAAATATGTGACTTTGACTTAACCCTGATAACTTTAGAACTAATTCAACCCCATAGGGTTGATTCTATTTTTTTATATTTTGCATAATATCTTTAACTTCCTTTACCAATAGTAGGAAGCCTATTAAGTTATGTTTTATTGGCAGATAAAAATAAGGGAAACATTATAGTTCTAAACAAAAAGACTAAGTAATTGGATTTTCTCTACGAAAATTTATTTCAAACCTGTGCCCCTGCCAATCCAATCATAATCAAAAGCAGGCAGCCATATTGACAATGGTGTAAAAATTAGATTTCTTATAGGTCAACATCAAGAAGACAAAGTTTCTCACCACTGGGCCAATTGTCAGAGCCATGATAGATGGAGAAGAGATTGAGGTTGTTAACAATTACAGCTTGCTTGGCTCTATAATCAACACTCTTAACACCAGCAGTCAGGAAATAAAAAAATGAATTGGATTGGGAAAATCTGCTGTCTGGAACCTCTCCAGTGTGCTGAAGAGCAACGATGTCAGTCTCGACACTAAGGTGTGTCTGATCTAGGCCATGATCTTTGCAATTACTTGATATGCATCAGAGAGCTGGACTAAGGATGACAGAAGAATCGATGCCTTCGAATTGTGGTGCTGGAGGAGAGTCTTGAACATACCATGGACTGCCAAGAAAACAAATAGGTCCGTCTTGGAGAGGATGAAGCCAAGTTTCTTATTGGAGGCTAGGATTTTGAAGCTCTGTCTCACATACTTTGGGCACGTGGCCAGGAGTGACCAGTCCCTAGAGAAAGACATCATACTTGGAAGGGTGGAGGGACAGCCCTGGAGAGAAAGACCCCAGATGAGATGGATTGATAGAGTAACTGGGACGATGGGAGTAAGGGTGTCAGAAATAATGAGACTGGCTCAGGACAGGGCAGGCTTCAGAGCTGCTGTACATAGAGTCGCTATGCGTCACAGCCAACTTGACTGCACATAAGAACAACAATTTAATAGAAAGATTAGAGTATGTTTCTAGAGCATCTAGTGGATGCCCCACTATGAGGATAGATTTATTAGATAGAATTATGAATCCTGTTCTTTGACAGCAAAAAGTTAATGGATACTTAATAAACAATTTAAAAGAAACAAACATTGTTAATTGAGTGATGGCAAATTTGAAGAGTTTTCCTCTCCAGTGGGTCCGATGCATCTTCTCGTAGGTAGCTACTCTCTGAGTTGTGGGCAGTGAAAAGTAAAAGAAGTATTCTTATTTGTCAAACCTCAATGTTTCTTTTAATTAAAGGGGCTCAGGAAGCACAAGAGGCACTTTCCCCATTGCAGTTGTCATTAGACAATACCAGGTTTCCATTAGCTTTGTGTAATTCAAGAGTCCAATAACCATTGCAAAACAGTGAAGCTGTTACTGCATAAGTCTGATTTAGAACAGCTATTTGGATCTCAATTATTAATGAAATTAGTGTCCTGAATGTCCACAAGCACATTGCCTTAGGTAAAGGCTGTAAAGGAAATCATATTAGGGTGGAATTTCCTTTCCTTAGGGGCTCCTCTTAGATTACATTATTCACTTAGCTATCTCCTGTCAGGGAAATTGAAATGTTTGACTATGATCTGATCAGGGGCAGAACCAAATGGAGAAGTTAAGGGGTGTCGTAATGGCATTCATTCCAAAATACCCATGGAAGGCCAGTTCTGCCTTCAGTCTCTAATGTTTATAAAACAGCACCAGCAAAGATAGTAAAAGACAGAAGAAAGACGAGGAGAGAAACTCTTTTAGAAAAAGACTGGCGGCTATTCAATCCCGTCAATAACTTTGCATTACTCGTCTTTGGGACCTTCCAGGGGACGCCGGCAAGAGTGATGGCTCCTCTCTGGCCCCTCATCCTGGTGACAGTCTCAGGTAAGTCCTTTAGAAGGTTTTACAAGGCACCGAGTATGAATTCTTAGAGGTAGACACACAATCTTTTCCATTCACTAGGCTACAGAACATCTCATAATGTGTTTTTGTTTTTAAAGTCATCATCTGGAAAATGGCAGTCCTTTGGAGTTACGGGGAGATGTATGTATGGCTTTACTCTCTGCAATCATAGAAACACACACGTACAGGGTCAGAGTGGGGCTTTCTACACTAAGCTGAAAAAAATAAGTTCTCAAATGTTAACAATTCTTTAAAAGGTATCTTCTCTAGAAATAAATTTCTCTGTGTAGCAATTTACATTCCATGTTTAGGGTCTTCTATTTGCCTTTTTGTCTGGGTGATACATGTCTATTATTCAAAGTAGTCTTACAAGTTTTTAGAAGCCTAACAAAGAGTCTGGTATGTATTGTTGCTATAGACACCTGAATATCATTTTTGCATTAGAGTTTTTATACCCAACCTTATAAAGGCTATTCAGGAAATGAGTACATCATTAAAGACAGATCTGACAAGCTGCAAGTATTGAGTGTACATTTTTTCCTTAAAAAAAGTATTTGGAAATGAATGCATTATTTTCCTAAATTTCTGGAACTGAATATTAATATTATCAGGATTAGCTCTACTGGATTTAACTATGCCGTTTAGGATGTGATTGGTTCTTAGTTGGTAAATGTGCCCAAATCAAGAATGAATGTGGCTACTGGTGTTTCTCAACACTCTACTTCTTAGAGCGCGTATCTGAATTTTCAAGTTTTTAAAATGCAGCTAGAAGTAGAATGAGCCAATTAAGGAGATGAGTAAGGAATTTGGTGGCCAAGGAGCTGGAAATGATTTTTTTTATTGTGTAGAGAAGAAAAATGGCCACTTAACTTCAAACCATAAAAATCTTGGCTGTTGAACTTGAAGGGTAAGAGCACATCTTAATTATAAAAATGAAAACAGAGGAAATTTCATTAAATGCCAAATGGGTTTCTTAGCAGAAAATAATTGTGAACATTAAACTAAGTGAGATAAAATAGAAAAATGAAAGGAAAGAAATGGGAAAATTTCTTCTTGACAATAACTCTTTCTAATGGTTTGTGTTATGGTTGATTTTTTGTCTTAAGTCTGGTAGGAGGAAAAAGTGTTTTAATAGTATCTAGTAATCAGTGCTTGACCATAAATCATGTGGACAGCGCTTATTGCAGGAAAATATGTGTTTGGAATTTTACTTCATCAATATCAAATCAGTTAGTAAATAGAAGAACATTAATCTGGTAACCAATCCATGTCTGCTTGTCAACTATTGTGAGGACAACCCAGGATAAGTCAGCATTGTGTTCTATTGTGCACAGACAGGGTCTCTAGCAGTTGGAGTGGACTTGACAATGCCTAACACCACACTTGCATAGAAGGTGCTAGGGTTGAGAAGATCTGGATTAGGAAAACATTTTAGCTCCTGCCCCACCCTCACCAGAAAAGTCAATTAATCTCAGTTACTCAAGAAATCATTTCTTTTGGATGTTCATGAAGGTAAAATAAGATAGCATTGTGAAATTGTAAGTTGGAAGGCAGACGTAAGATATTAATAACGGAAGAAAACAGAAATAGATAAAATAATACCTTAGTGTTTCTGCCCCATAATGTCCTCTATGCAGTATGTCTTTCTTTTGGAAGGTGATTTCATGGCTGTTCATAATACTTTCATGGAGCCAAGGCCATGTAGTGTCATGTTTATGACTGTGCACTTGGGCTGCAGAACAGTTGTGTTTAGATGCCAGTCCCATCACTTGTCAATTGTATGATTGTCCCTAAGTCTATTGTCCCTCATCTACTAATTGTGCATACCTCAAAAAGCTGCAGAATGTCTGCCTCCAAAAATTGGTGTGAAGGTTAAATGAGACAACTCCTGTAAGAGCTTAGCCTGCATCCTGACTCACAGTAGGTACTCACTGAATATTAGGTACTGTTCCGAGCCATCTAAACCTCTACTCCTTTGTAGTCCCTCAGATGTGTGTATGTGCATTGATGGTGGTGATGATTGCCATCAAGTCAGTTCCTACTCCGAGGATACTAAGTAGAATTGTACTCTTGAGTATCTTCAAGGCTGTCACATTTTGGATCCAGATTGTCAAAACTTTATTCTAAAGTGCCTATGTGTGTGTGCTGGAGAGCACAGTGTTGAATCACTGACTTTCCTATTGGTAGACTAAAGACATAGGCATTTCTACCCAGCAGCTCCAAGATATGTGTAGTTTTGTGAGAATCCTAAAGATAGTATAATCAACAAGGAAGAAATCGATTTTGTCAAAGTGCCCTGAATACTTTTGGATAGGCATGTAAGATAGTAACTCACCAAAACAAAACCCAAAGTAATAATCCTATTGTATTCTTGTTGTTGTTGTTGTTATGTGCCGTCGAGTTGTTTCCGACTCATAGCGACCCTATGCACAACAGCCCTAAACCCTGCTCTATCCTGTGCCAACCGCACCGCCTCTGACACACCCATCCCGATTACCCCAGTCACTGAATCAATCCATCTCATAGAGGGTCTTCCCCTCCTGTGCTGTCCCTCCACCCTCCCAAGCATGATGTCCCTCTCCAAGGACCCGTCCCTCCTGGAAACATGTCCAAAGTATGTCAGACGAAGCCCCAGAATCCTTGCCTCCAAGGAGTAGCCTGGTTTAATCCTCTCCAAGATGAATCTGTTTGTTTTCCTGGCAGTCCATGGTACATTCAGTACCCTTCTCCAGCACCACAGCTCAAAAGCATCCACTCTCCTTCTGTCCTCCCTAGTCATTGTCCAACTCTCTGATGCATAACAAGTGATTGCAAAGACCATGGCCTGTATCAGGCGCACCTTAGTCTCCATAGAGACACTGTTGCTCCTGAGTACCTTTGAGAGGTCCCTAACAGCAGACTTTCCCATCGTGATACGCTTTTTGATTTCCTGACTGCTGATACCAAGAGTGTTGACTGTGGAGCCGAGCAAACTGAAGCTGTGAACACTCTCAATCTCTTCATCATCCATCCTGACGCTGCCAATTGGTCCAGTGGCGAGAATCTTTGTCTTCTTGACATTGAGCCTTAGTCCATACTGAAGGCTTATCTTAAAAAAAACAACAACCCCAAAACCAACAACTTTAACCTAGAAGTGCTTCATATAGCCCAGCCACAATCCATTCTACTTTTCAGATATCTTCAAAGTAAATTGATTGCAGCTGATAGTTGATTATTAGCATTCAAGGCGGCAGTGTTTGGGAGACATCTTTCCTGGGTCTGTTGATAGCTTCCATCAGTGTCTGTTGAAACATCACTGAAGTGTGAGTCATTTAGTGCTTGTGTGAATGTCACATTAGCTTTCAAGGGGCATAATTTACTGTTAATTAATGGTCACTTAAATCCTTAATCTCTTTTCTGTAATTGATCTTTCTCCTTAGGCAGATTTGCATTCATTGTAGAAATGTAATTTATTATTTCTTCCAATTTTAAACAAAGAACTCTTTCCCTTTTGGGTTTATTTAAGCACATTTCCATTTGCTTATTATTTTCCTCCTCCATTTGGTCTCTTTTCCTTTTATTCCTAGCCCTACCTTCTAGAATTTTCTTCTTTTTTTCAGCCTAAAGACTTTGACACAGACAAAGATATTGAAACATTTCAGAAAATGTGTGTTTATCTATGGGGAACATATGGATTGCTTGCTAGATAGGGTTGTCAGTTGTCCTCAAGTAAACTATGACTCATAACAACACTATGAACAGCAGATCTGAACCTTGTCCTATCCAGTGTCATCCTCACAGTCTCTACCATGCTCAAGACTATTGCTACAGTCCCATGTCAATCCACTTCGTTGTGGGTCTGCCTCTCTTTCTCTGAACTTCTACCTTTCCAGCATACTGGCCCTTCCTGACAACATGCCAAAAGAATGTGAAATGAAATGTCCACTGTCTTCCTTCTGTGGAGCACCCTGGCTACACTTCCTCCAAGCTAGAAAGGATTGCAGAGGGGAATTTGAGCTTTTATAAGCAGAGGGTGTGGAGGACTTACATTCATTTCTTAGAATTATGTTTTAATTCGGTCCCGGGTAGTTAGTTTCCTGTATTGAAACATGCACATTTCAGTGTTTCTCCAACTGAGATTTGAATTGTGAGCTTCCAAGTGTAGTTAAAGTGTGATTGTCCCAAAGCAATATTAGCAGCTGAAACACTGGACCAGCTTGGACTCCTAAATTCCCTCCCCCCAGCGAACGGCAGTAAGGAATGGTCTCAGGTAAAGAGAGTTGCAGCACACTTTGGGCAGTCACAGTAAGAAATAAAAAAGGATGCCTGCTTGCCCAGTGCAAGCAAGCCACCCAAGCCCCACACGCCTGCATGACTTGTGCCACTTTAGGAATCTTCCTGGCTGAGTAGTTAGGGAGTTAAAATCCTCATTAGATTCCCAGTCCTGATGATAATGAGAGAGAATATTCCACTGCCCACGATGAGTCTGAAATTACACCTCCAGCATCGTTGTTAACATTTTGGTCACAGTGACATTGATAAATCATAGAAATTGCTGCCTGTGGCGGCAAATGACACAACATCATTCATAAAGAAATGGGTATAAACAGGATTGTCGCACAGGGGACAGATATCTCATTTACAGTTTCCTGCTGGAGCTCTCATACCTTCAACAACTCATCAAAATAACCATCAAAGCCGCCGAGAGCCCGGGCGACTTCCCGAGCAGGACACTACAGATTAGATTTCACTCACGTGCTGTGGCAGGAGGTGTGCAATTTGCCTCAGTCCAATGACTTAGCGAAGCTTTGGGCTCCCCAAGGGCTCGCAAAGCTTGTGAACAAATATCTTTTTGCAATTCAGAGAAAGCCCTCACAAATTTGTCACTTCCAATTGTTGGTGCTCATTTCTCTTGCTTCCTTTCTCCTAGTCTTTCCTGTGCCTCAACACCAATCACTGCCCTTCTGCAAATCAAGATTTCTGGGTCATAGGAAATGATTGTCCCCTGCAACTGGAGAGAATTCTCCCAAAACAAAGATCTCATTTTCTGACAAGTTCTTTTTATCAAAAGACAGATTGGATGAGATTTTTGAGGAGAAAGGTGTGAACCAGAATCTCCCTGTTTTAAAATCTTTGAGAACACAATCTTTGAGTTCACAGATTTGTCCACAATTCTTCTGTTTAATTGTTGGATTACAAATGAAAAATGAAATGAAAAATCAAGAGTGAAGTTAAGTTTTGGCTAAGGATGTAGGTGCCCCCCCCCCGCCCGTATCAAGAGGTAGTGATACAGGAATAGAGAAAATACAAGAAGTATGATTAAGAACAGAATTATAGGTATAGTTTATATGTGGGAATGAAGTTGATTACTTTATCTTGATAAGATTTCTTTTCTTCTACTGAGAACTTAAGCTATAAGCTCAAAGATAAAGCTTAATTTGTCTGATGCTGCTATAACAGAAATATTGTAACAAAAAGGAATTTGTCCCCTCACTTAGGAGAGTGGAAATCCAAATTCTGAGCCCACCAGCTTTATGAAGGCTCTCTCTCTGTATTTGCTCAAGAAGAAGGTCCTTGTCTCTTGTCAACATCGGTAGGCATGGTGTCCCTTGGAGAGCTATGTGTCTTAGGATTCACCTTCTACTAGGTCTAAGAGATTCTAGTACAGGGACCTTGTATCTCAAAGACACACTTCAATCCCATTTATTTTTTTCTGCTATGGTACTGAAGCTCTTCCTTCCCAAGTAGCTTCTCTCTTCTTTTCTCTCTTATAAGATAAAAAGTGATGCTGGTCATATTCTGGGGAAATTCCCCTTACAATAGAACAGGGCAATGACCTAAGCAAAAGTGCTTCATTTTACCTAATCCTCTTGGCTGACCACATCAGATAGCACATGGCAGATGATTACATCATTATAAACCTGCCAAACTACTGAGAATTATGATCTTCCCAAACTGACACACATTTTTGGGGCACACAATTCAATTACTGTTAAGAGATGCTACCAAATAACTTCATTAGCTGGCTGTGAACTTGAAGATAGTTGAAAACCATATTCTGCCAAGAGCCATTGAGTCCTGAACAGTCAAAAACATCCTTAAGATGCTAAATTCCTTTTATTTTTATCTTCACAGTGATAGTTGAAAACCATATTCTACCAACAGCCATTGAGTCCTGAACAGTCAAAAACATCTTAAAGATGCTAAATTCCTTTTTATTTTTATCCTCACAGTGATATGTTTCTTTTCCAGGAATCCAAGCCACAGATACATCTCACCCCAGGAATTCTGCTGTACATCATCTCACCAAGAAGCTACTACAGAAATACCACAAGGAAGTGAGACCAGTTCACAACTGGAGCAAGGCCACAACTGTCTACCTCAATCTATTTGTACATGCGGTACTGGATGTGGTAAGAACTATCTCACCCTTTCCTAGACCTCTTAGGTTCTTTTTAAACCACATGCTATTTATGCAGGGGCCTGAGAGAAGTTATGGGTTCCTGGTTGTCTAAATTTGACCAGAGCTACTAACCAAAAGATTGACTGTTCAACCATGTCCAATGGTGCCATCAAAGAGAAGTCTGATAATATATTTCATTGTTTTGTTAGGTGCCATCGAACTGAGTACAACTCTCAACAACCCTATAAACAACAGGCCTGAACTCTGTCCTATCATGCACCATCCCCATTATTTCAGACATATTGGAGTCCCTTGTAGCAATCACTGTGTCAATCTATCTGGTTGAAGGTCTTCCATTCTTTTGTTGATCCTCCATGTTCCCCAACATGATATTGCCTCTCCTAACAACATAACCAAAGTATGTAGGTTGAACCTTTGTCATCTTTGCCTTCAAGAAGTACTCTTTCAAGAAAGCCACACTTTCTCTAAGACCTATCTACTTGTTCTTTTGGCAGTTCATGGGATATTCAGTAGTCTTATTCAATACCACAACTCAAAGACATCAATTTTTTTGTCATTCTTATTCATTGTCCAGCTTTCAAATTCATAGCAAATGATTGAAAAGACCATGCCTGAATCAGGAACACCTTAATCGTCAATCTGCTATTAAGATTGAAAAACAAAACCAAATTTATTGCTTTCCACTCAACGCCAATTCATAGTAACTTTTCATAAGATTTTCAAGGTTGTAGATCATGATGAGAGAAGACTGCCTATCTTTCATCCTTGAAGTAATAATGGATTTAAACCACTGACCTTTAGGAACTCTTATGGCCTAATAGGTAAAGAGTTGTGCTGCCAATCCAAAGGCAAGCAGTTCAAATCCATCAGCTGCTCCATGACAGAAAGGTAGACAATATTTTCCCATGTGATTTACAGCTTCTGAAAACCCACTGAAGGGTCAGCTATGAATTGGTTCCAACTTGATGACAATGAGAAAAGAAAACTAGCTGAGTAACCCAAATCTGAACACATTATGCCATTAAGATTCCTTTACTTAAAGATTACACCTAAGAAAATGGAATTGTCATGAGTCAGAGTGAACTAATTGACAATACGGGTTTACTTTCTTTTTAACTAATTCATAACAGCTCCTAGACAAGCATTAGACCAAACACCTAGATACCATAGTCTAGCTAATGTGATGTAAAATTAGTCATCACAAATTGTGACGTTTACACCAGCGTGTAGCTTACCTATTCACGTTCTTTAGAGGCTTTATGATACAGTACACTTTTATAAAAACTTTTCTTCCAGCTCTTTATTTTTTGTCAGTGCTCTCTGGATCCTTTTTCAGAAATTTTATTGCTTCAGGTTCACAAGGATATTCTCTTATGTTTTCTGCTAGAAGTATTATAGATTACTTCTTATGTTTAGTTTTCTGATTTATTAAGAATGAGTTTTGATGATGATGTGGTATGTGTCAAGAGGCTTTGTTTTATTGTTGTTGTTGTTGTTTTTTTTTTGCTTGTAAAGTTGTTATGGCACTGTTATTTTTAAAACTTCAATTAATTACTTTGACACTTCAGCCAAAAATTTAATTTATAATACATACACATGAGTTTTTACCTCTTAAAACAAAGAGGTGTAAAGTGCTCCAATTTTCTTATTCCTTTTCAAGGGTATTTGTTTTTAATATGCCATTGGCATTTCCATATGAGTTTTAGAGTCAGTTTGTCAATTATGTTGTTGTTGCCATCAAGTCAAGTACAACTCATAGCAACCCTATGAACAACCACCCTGAACACTTCCTACTCTGTGTCATCCTCACAATCTCTGACACACTCAAGCCCATTCCCACAGTCACGGTGTTAACCCAACTGTTTGAAGGTCTTCCTCTGTTCCATTGCCCCTTCACCTTTCCACACATGATGTCCCTCTTTAAGAAATAACCTTTCCTAGCAATGTGCCTAAAGTATTGGGATCATTAGCACTCTTCTCCAGCACCACCATTTAAAGGCAACAATTCTTCTTCTGTCATCCTTAGTCATTGTCCAGCTCTCAGATGCATAGCAAATGACTGAAAAGACCATAGCCTGAATCAGGCACAGCTTAGTCCTAAAACTGACATCATTACTCCTCAGTAATTTGAAGAGGTTCTTGACCACAGATTTTCCCAGGGCAAAACATCTCCTGGTATCCTGACAGCTGGTACCAAGTGTATTGATTGTGGATCTAAATAAAATGAAGTTGTAGACAATCTCATTCCTTTCTCTGTCTATCATGATGTGGCCTATCACTCCAGTGATGAGGATATCTGTTTTCTCAATATTGAAATGCAATCCATATTGGAGCCTATATTCTTTGATCTTCTGCAGCAAGTGCTTCAAGTCCTCCTCATTTTCAGCAAGCAAGGTTGTATCATCATATGATTTGGTATTATGATTATGCCAAGAGTACAGAATGAAGGTTGCATAGTGAAGTGGGGCGGGGGTGGATTGTATACCAATGAAGGAGTTTTTCTTTTACTTTTCAAAGAGAAGAGTGAACTGGGAAGGAGTGGTGGGTAGGGAGAAAAATACAACAATGAATGAATGAATGGAAATCCAAAATCTCTGTAAATATTTATTAAAATTTTTAAAAAAGAATAACAAAAAAGATTGTATCATCAGCATAACAAAGGTTATTGATAAGCCTTTCTCCAAGCCTGATGCCACACTTTTCTTCATAGAATCTTCCAGCTTCTCAAATTAGTTACTCAACATATAGATTAAATAGGTATGGAAAAAGGATACAACCCTGTTTTTCTAAATTGTGCTGGGAGTTTGTTTGAATGGTGTAGAATCTACAGATTAATTAGGTAGTCAATGTTGACAACATTGAGTTTTCTACTTCTTCAGTATGGTGTATCTTTCCCTTTACTTGAGTCTTCAGCAGGGTTTTATAATTTTCAGTGTAGAAATTTTGCCATATGTTCTTAAACTTATCCCAAAGTATTATAAGTGCTACTATAAATACTTCCTAACTTTTAAAAGGTTTATGGCAATTTGTTGCTAGTATAGAAAAACAAGGCTGAGTGTTGTATGTTGGCCTTGTATCCTCTGACTTTGCTAAATTTGTTTCCTAATTCTAGTAGGGTATCTATAGACTAATATTTTCTACATATATAAACAAGTCATTTGCAATGAAAGAGTTTCCCTTCTTCCTTTCTAATGTGTATTCCCTTTCTCTTTCCCTGCCTTGTCTTATTGCATTGCTAAAGATTTCTGCTACAATGTTGGTGTAGCAGATGTACAATGCAAGTAAGAAGAGCAGACATCTTTGTTTCCATTAAAGACGATGATAGCTATAGGGTTTTTTCATATATGTTTCTCGTCAGATTGAGAAAGTTCTATTTCTTGTGTCCTGAGAGGTTTGAGTTTTTCTCAGAAATGCATATTTCAATGATATAAAGTGCTACTCCCAGATCTGTTTGGATGATCATGTGATTTTCCCTGCCCCCTCCCATTCATTAGTTACAGTGAAAAATGACATTGATTTTACAAGTGTTAAGCCCTACTTGTACTGCTAGAGTAAAGATAATTTAATATATTAGCTTTTTAATATATGTTGATTTGATTTCTTATCTAATACAGATTGTGCATTTGGTGATGCATTTGGTTATAGTTTTCTTGTATTTTTCTGGTTTGATATCAGGATTATGTTGGCCTTTTAAAACTAACTGAGAAGTGGTCTCTTCTCAATTTTCTGAAGGTGTTGTTTATAGTAGATTGCCCTTCCCCTCTTTGTTATGTTTGAGAGAACGTATCAGTGAAGACATCTGGCTCCAGAACTTTCTAGGTGGGAAAGTATCAAAACAATTTCAACCTTGTTAGCACATATTAGGAAATTAATATTATGTTAATTTCTTCATGTCAGTTGTGATAATTTGACTTTTCAAAGAGTTTGTTTAATTCACATTTTTAAATTTCTTGACTTAATATTATTCTTAACATTTCTTTATATTATTTTAATGTCATATGATCACCAGTGATTACTGTTCCTCTCATTCCTCACAGTGATAATTTGTGTTTTCTTTCTTGTTGCCCAACAAGTAACTTTGCCAAAGGTTTATAGATTTTATATTTTTTCAAAGAACTAAATCTTGTTATAATAATTTTTTCTATTGTCTCTTTCATAGTTCACTAATGTCTGCTTTTATGCTTATTTACTTCCTTTAGTCTGCTTAATTTGGGCTTAATATATTCTTCTTTCTTTAGTTTCTTAAAGTGGAAATCAGATAACTGATTTTCAATCTTTTTCTTTTCCACTTTAAAACTATAAATTTCTAAGTACTGTTTTATTTGCATTGAATATTTTATAATGCATTTTAAATTCTATAGTTTAAAAAATATGAAACGATTTAAAGTATAATTGAAATATATTGAAACTCAAGAACCTATCTTGTCTAACCACAACTTATCTTCCCCTTTCCCCAGTTTATCTCTTTAAAATGTTGCACAAATTTGATCATATAGTATTTTATGTATTTTGTCTGGCTCCTTTCACTTAGTGTGTCTCTGAGATTTGTCACTCTCCTTCATATATGAAAAGTAGTAAGTATTCTATTGCACAGATGTATTGCAATTTGGTTACTAGTTGCTGGTCACATGTATTGTTTCCAGTTGGGGCAATTATGAATAATAAAGCCGCTATCAACGTTTCCATATATTTTTATTTTCTCATGAATACTTAGTTGGAGTTTGCTGAGTTAGTCAAAAGTCTACATTTAACATAATAGAATACTACGCAGCACGCAGGAGCAAACATTTTGTAAATTATGACCTAACTTGGGAGAGACTAGAGATCATTATGCTGAGTGAACTAACTCAGTCTCACAAGGATAAATATAGCCTAAAACTGTTATTGTAGAATGAATATAAGGATGCAAGGTGGGTGGGGGAGGGTGAAAGCAGAAGGATGTGGATGTGCAGGGGGAGGGAGAATTAATCATGGAATTGTAAAATTTGG